TTCGCCATTCAACTTGTCCATTGGAGTGTTGGTCATGTCCAACTCAATAAATTTTAGTGCATATGCCCCACAATCAGCACTATAATAAGAAGAAGACATTAGCATTAGAATCAACTTATAGAACAATTATATTATGTGAGTTTTATACAAAATTTACCTCAAGTCATTTATCGGGAGGGGAAGACGCTTGAGTGGCCACTTTCCCTTTAGTAGTTCATCACCCAAGTGTTGAAACATCCCGTAGTTGTGTAATAGCTACGAGAACAATATACACAGCGGCTGTAACTCCTTCTCCAGCTGCCTCTCTCGACAAAAACTCGGGTTGCAATCAAGGATCTGCAACAAGCCCTTGTCTAGTACCCAAATGACAGTTATCCAATGCATATCCTTGATGTTCATGATACAGTATGCTCTTTTAATGTTTGCCCAATTGTTGCCATATATGGGCCTTTCCCCCTTGTACATACTGCATCATCCTCTTATCAAACCAAAAATCATCAAGGACAACATCGAAGTCATATGTGGCGAATCTTTTCCGCTTGCCTCTCCTTGTTGCACCTCCACCGTTGACCTTTTTCATTAAAGTGTCATATATAGTTACTAGCCTTTGGCCAAAGGCCACGTCAGTGATGGCACAGTGCGGATACAAAATATCACCATTATTGCTCTGTTGTAGCCTCATAAGTGCCAATACCTTATCAATGTGTTGCATCAAATAAAAACAACATGATAAGTATACAATACCTCATGGAATGAAAACATAAGCAAAAATAAGGGAAATTAACTCACTGAGTTGTCGAGCCGCCTGCCCATTATCAACATCTTTTCAAACCACCCCCGGGGATAATCCCTGGTCTTACACTTCACACGCCCATCACTTCCAGAATCATTGTAATAGGCATAGAAGAGTTTTTTCTTTTCCTCATCTATTGGCCTATACAAATCAACCTTTAACTCCTCCGTTTTCACTTGCCTACTTCCTCCACCTTCCTCTTCACCCTCCTCCATTTTCACTTCACGACTTCCTTTGCGTCCCGCCTCACCCTTCTCCATTTTCACTTCCCCACTTCCTCCGCCTTTCTCTTTACCCTCCTCCATTTTTGCTTCTCCACTTTTGGCTCTCTCTTTTATGCTCAGGTTGCACTTCAACCACTTTCAATACCCCCACCAACTTCCTTCTCTACCCTACCAACTTTCTCCGCCACCCTATCAACTTTCTCTTTCACCATTTTCATCCACTCTTCCATCTTCTTAAACCTTTCATAAACGATTGTTGTAAAACTCTAAAACAAACCGTTTATGAGGTCAACGACCTCATTCTCCCGACCCCGATGCCTCGGCAAAGTTGTACTTGTTGTACCGGTTTGCCAATTGGGTGGAGGCATACGAACCTTTTCATCCTCCTCCTCCTTCTCATCCTCCTCCCTCCCGTTGATTGGAGCTTCATCATCCTCGACCTCAACAACATTCTCAAGTAGTGGCCCTGCAGCTACACTCACATGTGTGACCCCTTCTAGGTCCCGCATTAAGCGACCTATCCCTTAATCTGCTGTATCGTCCAGTGCTCTGAACGATGTAACATACTCCTCTCTTGCTTCACCCCTAGTAAGGGCGAGGAAGGGACGGACAACTCTCTACAATAAGAAAAAAAATCAATCAAATTTAAGCCACATTTAAAAGCAAGTGCCTATTCAAAAGATTAATCATTTAATCTTACCCAAGCCGCTTGAATTTCTATTTCTATTTTGTCGTAATCCCAATGGGCACACTTCTTGATGTGCCACCGCAACATCTTAGGAAATTGTGATCGCTCATCCAAAGTCCTCTTCCACCTGCCCCCCCTCTAGCCAGGACAGGGACGGTTTCATACATCCAAGACTACATTGTAAAAAAAAAAATAGTCCATATCATAATTAACACACATATAATACAAAAAATATAACAAAAAACTATTAATATTTACTTGCATTGCCCATGGGAAGCCAAACAAATTGTACATGCTCGGTCTATCCTTCTCGACAACTTGGCTATGCTTTATCGCCATGTCTTTTCCACGTAGGGAGTTAATAGTAAGCTGAAATGATACCCGTCCCCATGGATAAGCATTAACGAAGTCTATGTTGCTTGCAAAGTTCACCAAATCCATATTAACGGCTTTTGTTGAGTCAAAAGCCATTAGGATCGAATGCACGAAGCACATCTTGAACTTTTCTGAAGAGGTATACCTATCTTCTCCTAACCTCTCCTCTAAATCAAGTCCCGTAATGGACACCTTCCCCCCTCAAAACCTTTTTAGCCAAGTTATCGGCTGCCCTACTCTTCGTTATTCTCTCTTGCTCTTCCATATCTGGAAATGCCCCACATCTTAAGCCTTTCATCAGGGCATATTCTATCATCCCAAAACGTAGTGGCTTCCCATCCACCACGAACCACATTTCATTTTTTTTTTTTTTTGGCTTTTAACTGAGTGCAGCAACATATAATGCACTCCCTGCCCCTAGAACGCCTTTTTCCAATTTTCATCGATGTCCGCAAAATGACCGAAACAACTCTCTTTGAATCGGTCCATACCCTTCTTTTGCTCCTCCAAATTCTCCGTTATTCTCATAAAAACTTGCCAACTCAACCTAACTGTCACCCTTACGGGGAAGTACAGTACCTTATCGCTTACAACCTCCAACCCATAGTCTTTATAATTTACGCTTCGGAAAATTTGCACAATCGATATAAACTAAATATCAGCAAAAAAAGAAAACAAAACAACCTATAGGCTGCCAATTTGGGGGATATGGGCTTCGAGGGCATTATGGAGTGGGTGTTTTTGGATTCGAAAGGATCGAGGAAGCTAATGCAGGCCTTACAGAGGCTGTTGTGGCAGGTTCCATGACTGGAGATGGTTGAGGATGGCAAGAGGTGGTGGAATAGGGGGGCTGGAGGGCTACCCTACAATATGCAGGGCAGCCTTCCAACCCTCTTATTTCACCACCTCTTGCCATCCCCAACCCTCCAACCTCCTATAACCAACCTCCCTACGACCTCCCTTGCCTTCTCCCATCCTCTAGAATCCAAACAAAGCCACTTCTCCGGTGCTCGCCAATTGCTTGACAAAACGCCACAACCACCGTACCAATAAAACCAACTACATATCCCCCAAATTCGCAAAACCAATCAAATTATTCATCAAATTCAAAACCACCAGTAAAAAATGTACCCTTTCTTCATCGGTGTTTTCCTCCTCGCTTGAATTCTCGTCGGCATCCTCCTCTTTAGAACCATTTTCCGATTCTTCTCTCTGTTCTTGTGCCGCCGTTGTCTCCTCTGCCTCTGGACCACATTGACTCATTGGATGATCCACCAGAGCGTCTTCTTAGACAGCTTTTGAATAGCCGCCGCTGGAGTCTAGGATTTGGAGTGGGGTTGGGTTGAGTTTTCCTCCTCTTTGTGAATATCAACCATGATTTTTTGTAACGAATCAAAATGATCAAATATTGGCCGAAAATAGGGAACTTTTATCGTTAGAAATCGCAGAGAAATCGAAGGTATTTCGTCGGTCGTTTTCTGGGTATATTGCTCGATTAAGCGATTTTGAAGGGAAGAGGTCATTTTTAATTCAAAATTTAAACAAACTTCTGTTAATTATAATATTACCTATATATGTTTAAATCTTTTTAGTTTAATCTGTTTTACATGTTTAATGAATCTTAAATGTGCCACCTCAATTTGTCTACCTTAAAAAAAAAGTGCAAAATTTGTTTAAATGCAAACTTGGGAGGTCTGATATTCAAACCAGAGTAATGCTACGGACACTGAAATTTTACACCAAATTTTTGTACCGAAGGACATGGCAACCAATTAGACGTGACCACGCTGGAGTCTTTCGTGAATGAATGGCCGTCCAACATTTATGGACGCCCGCCCATATTTAATGGACTCCCGTTCATATCATATGGACGTATATGGACGCCCGTCCAAAATTTTTAAAAGAAAAATAATGGACGCATGTCCATCTTATATGGACGGGTGTCTATTTACTATGGACGGGTGTCCATATAAGATGGACACCCGTCCAAAAAATTTTAAAAGAAAAATAATGGACGCATGTCCATCTTATATGGACGGGTGTCTATTTACTATGGACGGGTGTCCATATAAGATGGACACCCGTCCAAAAAATTTTAAAAGCAAAATAATGGGCGTCCGTGATTATTGGACAGTCGTTCACCTATAATGGACACCCGTCCATGAGAAAATAACAATGGACTCCCGTTCATATAATATGGACAGACGTTCACATAGAATGGACGCCCGTCCATTGTTTAAAAAAAAAAAAATTAAAACAAAAATTATGGACGTCCGTCCATATATTATATGGACGTCCTATATGGACGGACGTCCATATTCAATGGACATGCGTCCCTTTTAGATGGACGTCTATCCATTGTTTGATTTAAAAAAATTTACAACATTTGAGTCTCAATCCAAAAAGTAAATATCGCTATCTTCGTTAAATTTTTGTCTATATTCAAAGTAATTGGACAAGTGTCATAAGAATAAGACACTAACTCAATTAGGATTCACAATTAATGTTGTAAATAAATTTAAAATTTGTATTAAAAGGTGGAACCCCTCCTCATAAGAGGACGAGCGTCCATAAACAATTTAGGCCAAATTTTGTTAGTTTAAACTATGAATGGACGTCCATTCTAGGTGGACGACTGTCCATATAATATGGACGGGAATCCATTTCTAATGAACGATTGTCACGGTCATCCATATTTAATGGATGACCCTTCATTCGCAAAATATTTGTTAATATGATACCTAACTCTGATTTAGTGAACACGTGTACGTTGTAAAAATTCAGTAAAACATCAGTGTCAGTAACATTTTTCTTCAAACTATGGTGGTAAACTAAAATTCAGGGGTGATAATTAATTACCCAGATTCAAAAACATAAATTAAACACTGTCGCTCTTTCCCCCTAAACCCCTGTTTAATCTCTGCACTTTCTTTTCTCTCTGTACAAATGAAGCTTGTACGTTTAAGCGCAATCCTCCGCAACACCACCTCTCATTTCGCTTTCGGGAATGCACCGGCTGTTCGCTCGTTCTTTACAAAATCAGCAGAACGAAGCACGAGTTCTTCTAGATTGAGAGGCAGCATGAACGCTCTCTACTGTCGGATCTCCCCGATCGGAAATCCAAGGGTCTCGATCGTTCCATTGTTGGACCTGTGGGTCCAAGAAGGACGTCCCGTTGTCAAAGAGCAACTCCAATCCTTCATCAAAGAGTTGCGAACCTACCGACGATTCAGTCACGCTCTTGAGGTATCGGGTCGTTTTCTAGGGCGATTTTTTTAAATTTATTTATAAATTTTAATGTTGCTTTATTTATAATTTATTTATTATTTTGAGAAATTAGAAAAAAAAAAAAAGTTACTTTATATGATAAAATTTGATATTAATGCTGCTTTACTTTTTTTTTTTTTTTTTTTAATAAGAAATTAGAAAAATTAACCGCTTTATGATGACAGAGTATATTACAGATATGATATTAATATTGATTTCCTTTTTATAAAAATATTTGTTTATTAATAAATAAATAACTATTTATAATGGAAATTGTTCAAAAAAATTGGCTCCCCACATTGAAAATTCGTCCTTCCCTTGATTAAGAGGGAAAAACTTCAGTGAAATGCAACCCTCCAATGATGAGGTTCACCTTTATATAAAAAATGGTGGCATGTTCTCATTGGCCGGTTGTAACGGAAGACATTCTCGATTAAGAGACTGGATTGATGGAGTTACCAATAGTCTAAAACTAAGTACTCACCCTCGAAAATTGCTGAATTTATGAACAGATTTAATTTTTCAGTGTTCTTGTGAATTACATTTTGAGCTATTACTGATAGTTGCCATGCTGGTTTGATTTTATTTGTAAATACACTTACCCTGTCAGAATTTAGCGAAATTCCTTGTTCTTTGATCAATTTAATTGGGAAGTTACAATCTCTAAACCTCGCTAGCGTTCTTTTGTTTGGAGGTTATTGATCTGCTTTTCTGTAATCATTTTTCAAGTCTTTAGTTAGGTCTTTAGTAACTAGCTTCTTTGGGAGGTTAAAGGTTTTCTCTTTTAATTTTTATGGGCAGTTGTTTTGCTTACATTTACACATTCATCTCTTTGTTTTTATTTTAAATAATATTTTTTTATTCCTATCAATATAAAATTAAAAGAAACTGCCGTATGATTACTTGGTGTTTGGGATCTTGTAATTATATCTTTCCATTGTTATGATCTCTATCTCTTTCTTTCTTTCCGCAGATGTCTATGTGGATGACTGACAAAATACACTTGCCGCTTACACCTGCTGATGTTGGCATTCGGCTGGATTTGATCTCTAAGATTCATGGCACAAAAGAAGCAGAAAATTATTTCATCAATGTTCTGGAACAATTAAAGGACCTTCCAGTTTATAGTGCTCTTCTGAACTGCTATGTCAGTGTAAAATCTGTGGAAAAAGCAGAGGCCACCATGCAGAAAATGAGGGATTTGGGGTTCGCTCGGACATCGTTGGCTTACAATGTTCTGCTTAATCTTTATTATCAGACTGCAAATTACGAGAAACTTAATAGTCTGATGCATGAAATGCAAGAAAAAGGCATTGCATGTGATAAAATTACAATGGGTATACGCCTGAATGCCTTTGGAGCTACATCTGATGTTGAGGCAATTGATAAGACTCTGGCCATGATGGAATCAGATCCCAATTTTGTTTGGGACTGGACAGTTTACAATAATGCAGCAAGTTCGTATGCAAAAGCTGGACTCTTGGATAATGCTTTGGAAATGCTGAAGAAATCTGAGGAGCTAATTTTGGAGACAAAGTGCTTTAGAGCATATGAGTTTCTTATCACACAATATGCAAAATTTGGGAAGAAAGATGATGTTATAAGACTTTGGGAACTTTACAAGAAGAATCAAAAGGTTTACAATAAAGGCTATGCATGTGTCATATCTTCATTGTTGAGATTTGATGACCTTGAAAGCGCCAAGAAGATATTTGATGAGTGGGAATCAGAAAACGATTACTATGACATTCGGATTGTAAACTTCCTGATTGGTGCTTATAGCAGCAAAGGGCTTTTGCAGGACGCGAAAAATCTCATAGATGGGGCAAAATTGAAGGGGGGGAAACCTAATCAGACAACATGGCTCTATATTGCAGTTGGGTATTTTCAGAATAATGAAACTCAAAAAGCAGTGGTAGCGATGGAAGAAGCATTAGTGATTTGTAAACTTGGGTGGAAGCCCAGGAAGGTAAATTTTTCTGCCTGTCTAAAATACTATATAGGTGAAGGAGATATAGAGGGAGCAGAGAAATTCATAAAATTACTTAGGAACAAGGATATCATCTCTGTGGAGCTCCAAGATAGATTGTTGAATTATGTCCAGAACAGGAAATCAAATGTTGATGAACTCAATGAGTTTTTTCGGTGATTCTTTGAATGAAAAAGGAGAATCACATTTACAACCCAAGTATGATATCAGTGAATCAAAAAAAGAAGAGACATGTTGAATAAGCTGGACTCGAGTCATGGTTCAACCGGTCCAACAGGTTAGACCCTCAGTTGGATTGGTGACATCATCACATAGCATGATGACATCAACACATTTAAAAAAGCCGTTTTTTTTCCTAATAATATTTCTATTTTTTAATAAGACAAATAGACAATAACAACTTAATTACTGTTCAACATGATTTAAATTATATATGTGTTAAGTTTTACTTGGACATACAGCAGATATTGCACTGTATTTATAATTTCTATATCTAAATCTATGTCTTCAATAAAAGGTGAATTTTTAATTAAGAAATTAAATAACACCCGTGCACACTATTTATACAAGAGACGAATTCAAACCAGATTATTTTAGTTAAAAAAAACAATTAAATTCAGGTGCTAACGAAGCTAGCCTCAGTGGTAGAGCTCTTGGGCAACTGATGAAGAACGCTTGTTAGTGAAGAATTACATGTGGAGGATCGCAGAGCCTCCCATTGAAGCCACCTGATTTGTGGCCCAATTTAGTTGGGATTCCACTCTTCCACCACCTTGGTGTTGGTGATCTGTTTCTTCTCCATTGCCAGTTGATAGTTTCAAGGAGACATCTGATGATGAATTTCCAAGCATTGAAAAGGAGAGGCAAGTGTTGGCATTGCTTGAAGAAAAACTCAAAGCGAGGAATGGAGCTTTGCCGCAAATTAAAAAACAGCCCTAATGTCACGCTGTTTTCCTTGATTACAAATTAAATAACCAAAAAAAAAAAAAAAAGTCACATAATAATTAATAACAAAATCATTTGCAATATAATCCAGAATGAACAACATTTGCAAAATAAAGTTTAACTCTTTGAATACTTTATGCCCAAAAACAACATAAGCACATATACACAGACAATATAACAAACCAATGTTCTGAGAATCGGACCGGACCGTCCGGTTAGACCGGTTCGACCAGGAGTCGATGGTATTTTCGGTCCGGTATCTCATAAAAACTGGCTTTTACCGTTAAGTTGGATTGAGCCGCGGTTGGACCGTCGGAATGCTGCTGAGTCACGGTCCAATCGTGGTCCAATCGTCGCTCAATCCCGCCGGATTCCGGCATCTTTCGACGACGAAAACACCACCATTCGATGTGACGGCTTCTCCATGACAAAACCAAACCATTTCCACTTGCCTTCGTTGCTCGCTGTCCACCTAAAGTTCACGCGACCGTCGGGCTTCTTTTGTTGATTCCGGCGAGTTCCAGCGCCGATGGAACTCCCTAGCAATGTTTTAAAAACCAACCTGGAGCACAACCTGGCAAACTGGCTAGGTCCTGGGTTGACCGGTTGGACCGGTTCAACCGGTGACGTCATCCTAAAAAAAAATTCAAATTCCAGAATTCCAAATCACAAATTACTTAAAAATTCTTAACAAACTATCATCAAACATCGATACAATCTTACAAGTAATTACAAATCCTTAACAAAGCATCATCAAAGTTCAAACATCAATACAATCCTTAACAAAAACTACAGTTGGCCACGCAGCAGCTCACAAGGAGGATCCCGACAGCAGGCAAGAAAAAAAAACACACACCAACCTGTAGCAGCAGCATCCCACACACCAACTAGGACCAAGAAAAAGGAAAAAAAAACACAAGGAACTGAAGGAAGGACGTAGACAAGCACCACTTCACCCCACTCTCAACCCAGCTCCAACATTTTCAATAAAGAGAAAGGGAAGCTGAAAAACGTCCCCACACATTCAAATAAACTGGAAAAAGAAATCTAAGAATAGAAAATGATAGGCACATAAACCAAATCTGTCATTTTCATGACCAAGTCTCAAGGCTATTTTTTCACCCATAAGACTTCAATTTTCAAGGTCTCGCTACTGCCATTCTTCACATTCTCTCTCTACTGCTCTTCTTCTTCCTCAAAACACTGATTTTGATTTTAGACTAAAAACCCATAAATTGGAAATGAGAGATGAAACGCAGAACTTAAAGAGAGATGAAAGAGGAAGAGATCGACTTTGACGATACCTGACGAAGATGCCTGGAGCTGATGACGAAGAGGAGATGATCGACAATGAAGAGAGGAAATCGCGCAAATGAGAGTTACCGGTGGAAGATTTGAAGGAAATCAAAAAATGGGTGCGAAGGAAATCGCAAAAATGGGTGGATTGGGTTAAGGAAAAAGGTTTTTTTTTTTTTTTTATTTGATGTTGATGGAAAGACAAATAAGGGAAAAATCGGTTTAAGCCATGATAAAGATGAAACTAAGTTGCCGGTTGCCGCTGATGAAGATGAAAGCAAGATGTCAACCAAGAAATCGACATGAAATCGCAAGTGAGACACAGGGAGTGGAGTTTGGTCTATGGAAAGAAGAAAAAAAGGTAAAAAATTGGTTTAGGGTATTAAAAGGGGGGTTTAATGTTTCACCCAGTTTATCCTAAAACCGGTTGGACCGGCGGGTCGCTACAGCAAATCCGGTCCAACCCCAGGTCAAATTGGGTAGAGTAATTCTGTCGGTTATAAGGCTTACCTGCCCCGGTTGACTGGCCTGGTCTTGGTTCAACCGGCCGGGCTGGGCCGGGTTTTAAAACATTGCTCCCTAGCACCACCATCAGATTCGCCGGAACCTATGCATCAAAAGCCCCATGATTCCAACTTCGATTGGCCGTCAATCGTCGCTGCCGCCACCACTCACCAGTTGCTTCGTGCGACAGGGGTGTTTTAGACAGATTTCAAACCTTAAGGGAGCATTATAGGGATGTTTTTGAAGAATTTCAAACCTTCAGGGACTAAATTTTTTTTACCGAATACGGTCCAACCGACGATCCAACCGGACCCTTGAACGGGTCATAGTCCGGTCCAGTTTTCAGAACATTGTAACAAACAATAAAAGGGCAATATTCACACAAATGAACCACCACTCACCAGACCCAACAATCTAAATTTCTAAATCGATAAAAGGGCAATATTCACGCAAACTAGCCACCAGTCAGCAGACCCAACAATCTAAATATCTAATTCGTATCCTCAAAATTCATCTGACCTTGTAAGTTGTAACTTCGGATATTTAGATATTTGAAAAATCTCTTCAGCTACTTCTGTAATCTGTATTCTGTAATCAAATATTTGTAAAGAACAACAGATGAAACAGCTAAAAATGCTAACTAAATGCAGAAGAAGACGAACTTCAGGATAAAGAGCAAAGTAAAAAAGCATTTTAGTTGAAGGAAAAGAGGATAAACTTGCAAAATCAGTGAAGAAGACAAAGAAGTACAGGTTTTGTCCGAGTTTCGCTTGCCATTGAAGTTGAAGAAAATGAAGAAGAATCAATTTCGATCTTCTTTAGACTTTAGAGTTTCTTCACTTTGATCTTTGTTTGAAGTTGAAGAAGATGCGATTTGGAGCAAAATCAGTGAAGGATGAAGCTCGATTGAAATGAAATAAAGAATGAAATGAAGATGCATTTGGGAATGCGATTGTTTTAGGGTTATTGTAGGTTTCAATTAGTGGACCGGTTTAAGAAACAGTTCGATCGGACCGACGGTTTAACACTATTCCCCCGATCTGTTACCGGTCCAAAACGGTTTTAAAAATATTATCATTTATATAGTAAACCGGACCGAAGTCATAGCCGGTTCTCGGTCGAACCGGTCCTGTTTTTAAAACAATGCCTAAAAGGCAAATGGGGCATGAAGGTTTATTTTGTGAAATGCTTTCGGTCTTCCGTTCATTGTGATTGGAAGTTTAATATTTTGTTGGCCAGTTTGGGTCATTGCAGGTAAAGCTACTTCAGGTTTCGTCATCTAGATGGGCAAGGAAGATGACAAGTCATATAAATTAAACGCCCTTTGAAAAGTATTATATATCCCACTATTAGGGGGTTTTTGATACTTTATTAGAAGGGTGAATGATAATCTCAAGAGGTAAATGTAATTTTAACGGGGTAAATGATAATCTGGGCAGGTACATAATACTTTTGCAAAACCTTGGGCATAAATAAATGCTATCCTACTCCCTTCCGGCCGGATGGTAGACCATTGGATTCGGCTTGCCAGTGTGTTGGCCTGGACATTGTTGGCTTACAATGTTCTGCTTAATCTTTATTATCAGACTGCAAACTACAAGAAGCATGAGAGTCACAAGCATGAAATGCAAGAGAAAGGCATTGTACATGATAAATTTACAATGGGTATACGCCTGGGTGCCTTTGGAGCTACATCTGATGTTGAGGGAATTGATAAGACTCTGGCAATGGTGGAATCAGATCCCAATTTTGTTTGTGACTAGAGAGTTTACAAAATGCAGCAAGTGGGAACGCAGAAGCTGGACTCTTGGACAAAGCTGCGGGGATGCTGAAGAAATCTGAGGAACTAATAACGGGTAAGAAGAGCAATAGAGCATATGAGTTTCTTACCACACATTCTGCAAAATTTGGGAAGAAAGATGATGTTTTAAGACTTTGGGAACTTTACAAGAAGAACCATAAGATTTACAATAAAGGCTATATATGTGTCAAACCTTCTTTATTGAAATTTGATGACTTTGATTACCGACTGTAAGATCCCCGCACAAATTCCTACAGCGAACAACAGGCTCTTCTGTGACACCAAGTACCAGAACCCTAATCAAAGAGTTACAATTGCTACAATAAAATTTCAAGTTGTTCCAAACTCATATTGACAGAAAGTGCAATTGAAAACAGAAAACTTAAAAGCAAACAAACTGAAATGGATTTAAACAACCAAACCAATATGCTTGAAGCATTTTGAATGGGAACATCTGCTGCATACCTTTAATCGCCGCCTCTACCTGAGCTAGAACATCGTATTACATTTTATATATTGCTGATGCAGTGTGGTCCTGATAGAAATTTCAGGCCATGTTCAAATAATTACTTTTTTTCAGGACTCACCGAGGTCACTCCCAACGCCCAAACATTGCTAAAAGCATATGCACATGATTCATTGCCTCCCTTGCCCATCTAGATGACGAAACCTGAACTGGAATACCTCCATTGTCTCCAACTAGGCAACAGAATATTAGACTACCAATCACAATAAATGTAACCTGGAAGGCGTTTCACAAAATAAACCTTCATGCTCCATTTGCCTTTCTGGTCCAGCTTATTCAACATGTATCTTCCTCTTTTTTTGATTCACCAATATCATGCTCGGGCTCTAAATGTGATACTCCATTTTCATTCAAAGAATCAACCAAAAAACTCACTGAGTTCATCCACATTTGATTTCCCGTTGTGGTCCTTGTGGACATAATTCAACAATCTATCTTGGAGCTCCACAAAGATGATATCCTTGTTCTTAAGTAATTTTATAAAATTCTTTGCTCCCTCTATATCCCCTTCATCTTTAAAGTATTCCAGGCAGGCAGCAAAAATTTCCTTCCTAGGTTTCCACCCAGTTCCACAAACCACTAATGCTTCACTTCCACTGCTTTTTGAGTTTGATTATTCTGAACATACCTGATTGCCATATAGACCCAAGCTGTCTGATTAGTTTTCGCGCCCTTCAATGTCGACCCATATATAAGAGTTTCTGTCTCCTGCAAAATCCCTTGTCTGCAGTAAGCACCATCCGGAAGTTTAAAATCCAAATATCATAGTATTCGTTACTGATTCCCACTCGTCAAATATCTTCTTGGCACTATTTCAACAATGAAGATATGACACATATATAGCCTTTATGTAAATCTTATGGGTCTTCTTGTAAAGTTCCCAAAGTCATAAAACATCATCTTTCTTCTCAAATTTTGCATATTGTGTGATCAACTCATATGCTCTATTGTCTTTCTACCTGTTTGAGTTCCTCGGATTTCTTCACACTCCACAGCTTTGTCCAAGAGTCCAGCATCCAGCTTTTGCGTACCCACTTGCTGCATTATTAAACTGTCCAGTCCCAAACAAAATTGGGATCTGATTCCATCATTGCCAGAGTCTTATCAATTCCCTCAACACAGATGTGCTCCAAAGGCATTGATGGTATACACATCGTAATTTTATCACGTGCAATGCCTTTTCTTGCATTTCATGCATCAGACTATCAAGTTTCTCTAATTTGCAGTCTCATATAAAGACTAAGCATACATTGTATTCCAGCGATGTCCGAGCCAATTCCAAATCCTCATTTTTTGCAAGGTGGCCTCTGCTTTCTCCACAGATTTTACACTGGCATAACAGTTAGCTGAGCACTATAAACTGGAAGGCCTTTAGTTGTTCCGAACATTGTTGAAATAATTTTCCGCTTGTTCTTGCCATGAACTTTAGAGATCAAATCCAGCCGAATGGCAACATCAGCAGATGTAAGTGGCAAGTATCTTTTGTCGGTCATCCACATAGAATCTGCGAAAGAAAGAGAGAGAGAGAGATTATCAATGGAAAGATAAAATTACAAGATCACCAACACCAACTAATCATACGGCAGTTTCTTTTAATTTTTTTGAGATAGAAATAGAATATTATTTAGGGAAAAAAAAGAGATCATAATCTATAAATGTAAGCGAAAACCTTTACCCACCCAAGAACCTAACTACTAACTAAAGACTTGAAAACTAAACTTGCTTTCAAGCCCGACTAGAAAACTGGAGTCCTCGCGAACCTCATACTTTCTGTTATGATTATGATTGTTATACTAAATAAATAAATATTTATAATGAAAAAATTTATAAAGTGATTTTTTTTCTAATTTCTCTAAATAAATATAATAAAGCAACATTAAAATTTATAAAATAATATAAAAATGCCGTACAAAAAGAAACCGATACCTCGGTAAGATCGCAACTCTTCAATGAAGACTTGGAGTTGTTCTTTGTCAACGGGGCGTCCTTCTTCGACCCACTGGTCCAACAATGACGATTGAGACCCTTGGATTTCCGATCGGGGATCCGACGGTAAAGAGCGTTCATCGAGCCTTTCCATCTCGAAAGTCTCGAGCTTCGTTCTGCTTTTTTTTTTTTTTTTTAAGAGCTTAAAGCCGGTACATTTCCGAGACCCAAATGAGATTTGATGCTGTAGAGGATTGCAGTAAAACGTACAAGCTTCATTTGCAGAGAAGGGCGAGGAGAAAGTGCGAGGGTTGGTGAGAGCAAAGGAGAGCGTTTAATTTATTTTGGGTTAATTTTTTTACATACCGTAAATTGTAGTTTAGTCATCAAATGCCCAGAACTTTTGAAAATTATCACTGATCCGCCTACAAAATACAGATGTCACAAGGGTGAGCGGTTCCGGGTACCCGCCGGAATTGCTAGGAACCGAAACAGTTGTTTTCTAGCAAAAGAAACCAGAACTGGTTCTTAGGTTCCTAGAACCAGAACCTGAAATGCAGGTTCTGTTTTCGTCCCGAGTATCCAAAAAATTAATTACCCTCTATTATTTTAAAATAAATCACCCCTTCATAAAATTCACACATATACCCTTCAGTTTGTTAACAAAAATAACATTTGCTGCAACAACTGTTCCCAAACTGAAAATATAATAACATTTATCATTTCAAATAACAAAGTTACATAACAACAAATAGTGAAATACAATCAATAAAACATCATGTTCATGCTTGAAATTTGCCGTGGATATTCCTTCGTCAAGTCCAATCCTTTTACAAAATAACATAAGACAATCAATTAGTAGCTTAAAAGTAAAATATTGAATTAAATTATTTACCAAATTAAAATAAATTAAAGAGATAGAATAAAATCTTTGAATTCTATAACCTAATTATCCCATCAATATTTTCAAACATTTTTGAAGATTGATATTTGATACAATAAGAAGAATTAATTATCAACACAAAATTCTTAAATAAGACATTTGTTCCTTACTAAAATGCTAAAAAATTCTAAATTTATCAAATTTCAATATAGATTAAAATTCTGAAATATGCAATGCAATTAATATAAAATATCTCAATAAAACACACACACACACACAACACACACACATATATATATATATAACGCACTAAAAATAATTTCAATTTAATGTTTTTCAGAAAAAAATATTAAAAATTAAATATTAAATTAATTATAATTGTGGCCGCTATATTTGTGACACATGTATCCAATTGTCATAGACTGAAATTGGAATTGATATAAAACACCTAATAAAACCCCATAAAGTAATCACCTTAACCTCTCCATATCCAAACGCAAGTCCAGTACTTAACCGTAGTCAAAACTAGGGGTGAGCAAGGTAGCAAGTAGAACCAGAATCAGAATCGGAACTTACCCGAACCAACACTATGCAGGTAGGTTTCGGTTCCAGTTTTGTTCTTGTGTGTGGAGAACCGAACCGGAATCGGAACCTGAAAAAAGAACCTAAAAAGGGTACCCTGTTTGGAACTTGTAGTGGTACCCGATTGGAACCTGTTTTGGAACCTGGATTGCAATGAAATATTTGTGAATAATGAGGGGTTTCATTATTTTACATATAAAAAAATTAAAATAGAAAAAGTTAAATTTTTAGAATAACCTAATTAAATAAATATACTAATACAATTATACTATTACTATAATTACACCATATAAAAACTTTAATATATTATATATAATTATATTAAAGTTTTCATTAATAATGAATATTGGAATTATGATCCAATTAAAAGTGTTTTAAATTTTTAATGTTATAAAAAAACTATTTTGAATAAAATAGTATATTTGATTGAATATAATATATTAACATATGTAGTTATTTACTTCAATTATTAGTTCTAAGTACTATAGTAAATTGCAATTAATTAATTAATATGATAAATTGATAGACATTAATAATTTAATTACTAGTTAAATATCATACTTAATCAATTATAGTTTATACATTACATTATAGTTAAATAATTACTTAATTAATTATAATTTTATAACATTACTTAATTGATTTATAATATAATTAATTATAGCATTACATAATTGATTATTACTTAATTAATTAAGTATAATTATAACATTAGTATATTACTTAATTAAATAATTAGAAATTTAATTAATTATAGCATTACTATTTGTTTATATTATAATTACTAATCATTATAACATTTAATATAAACATTAGTACAAACTTATAATATTAAAAATTTAATTAATTATAATACATAAGATTTATAGTATGATTACTTATTCACAATAACAACATTATAGTATGATTTATAATTAATTATAACATTACTACATTAGTGCATTACATAATAATGGTTACTTATTGATTATGACATTATATTATAAATATTAGTAATTACTAATTTACTACATAAACATTAGCAATTTGCATAATACTTAATTAAATGATTAGAAATTTAATTAATACAATATTACATTATAAATTTATAGTACGATTACGTAATTAATTGTAACATTACATTAATAAATGATTACTTAATTATAATATTCTATTATAAACAATTAATTATAATATTATATTAATATTTATATTTTATAGTATGATTCTTAATTCATTGTAACATTTCAATATTTTATTATAATATGATTAGTTGATTACATAATTAATTATAACATTATATAATTAGATGATTATTTAATTGATTATGACATTATATTATAGATATTAATTATAACATTACATTATAATAAATGTTACTTAATAATGATTAGAAATTTAATTAATAAATATTACTTATGTTAAATAATTACTTAATTAAATTATAACATTATTACATTATGTATTTTATGATCACTTAATTAATTATAGTATTACATAGTTAAATGATTACTATTAGTTATAAATTTATAACATTACATATAACATTAGTAATTTACTACATTATTATTTATAACATTACTTAATTAAATGATTAAAAATTTAATTATTATAATATTACATTAAGATCTATAATCTGATTACTTAATTCACTATAACATTACATTAGTATGATCACATAATTAATTATAACATTACATAATTATAATTACTTAATTGATTATGAGTTTAGATATTATATTATAAACATTAGTAATTACTAATTTACTATTAAACATTAGACATACTTAATTAAATGATTAGAAATTTAATTATATAACATTACCTTATAACATT